GGGGGGGGGGGGGGGGGGGGGGGGGGGCAATGTCAGTGCTTCAATACGAGCCGTGGAAGAGCACTGTTAGCTCTTTGAGGTATGAAGATTTTAATGTAATTATGAGATGTGAGAGGGCAATTGCGGTTATTGAATTTTTGGGCGATGTGTGTAAACATGGGGAGACGGAGATTGCTGATGGATTTTAGGGAAAGAAATAATTTTATTCTGTTGGGGTTGCGGCTGTGTGCATGTCACAGGGACAGGGAATTGCTATGGATCCATTTGGAAGCTTACTACCAATAGAATTGACAGAAATAAAAAAAAAATAAAAAAAAATGACGGAAATTAAAAAAAAAGAAAAAGACCCTCCAGCTTATTTATTCATTTTCATTTATTTATTTTAGCTTGTTTATTCTTTTCTGAATTTTCTTCAATAAACTCTGTCTTTCTACAGATGTATATTTTATTCATCAGTAAGCAGGAATTTCAAATGTCTCGAGAAATTAAGACCAGACGACATTACGAGACAATAAAAACGGGAAAGCGAGACGAGAGAACGTTTTTCCTCGTCAGATGGAAGACAAGACGAGCGAGTCTATGTGACTATTCAAAAACATGAACGACAAACGATAAATTGGTTGCATTTGGTCAGCGGTCTCGTGCATTCACGATTAACGACGATTGCAGTCAGGGTGAAATTGCATTATTTATCGTATTATTCTGCTCATTGGACGCAGACCCATCCACTCAACATTACTCCCGTCATTCCCAGGGGTTTAATGACTAATGATAAAAGGCATAAATTTATGAATATACCTCTCACGGCTACTTTATTGCGTCATAACTGCGTAATAAAATAATTTCACCTCTGCTGAGTGGAAATATTTACTATTCCTAAAAGTCTTTCATGACCATAAATCGCGCTGCATGCGATGATTATCGGTAACATGCTCAAAGGATGATGGATATCCCTGTTCATTGGAGCGTGACACAGAAGCAACGATAACGAATTAAATAGCGAGAACAAAGGGGAATAAGAGGAGAAATATTAAGAGGGGATTTTCTATATTGGATCACCGATGACTCAATGATCGGTTGTTGAGCCGTGGATTTTACCAGCACTACTTCTCCATTCCACGTGTCACAGCGAGCGCTATAAATTCGGAATTACTCGAAACTCCGGGCATACATATTCACCCACTGATGGCCTGCACTGGAATTCTTGTTTTTAACGAATCCCCAATCAAAACGGGTACACGAGTTTCCATATATTAATATCCAATTCCGCTCGACACTTGCGAGGGAGAAAGCGAGAAAGGAAAAATGTGACGCCTTTACTCAGCGAAATTTAATTGGTACGCCGTTGCGCAAGCTGAATATCCGATTAATGATTTTTTTTTTCATCCAGTTATTTGCGACACATGAAATATTGGAAATTATTTGGAGTGAGGGTTGAGTAGGTGGAGAAACTTGTAGTGGAGGAGTGGTGAATCGATGGGGAATGAAAAATAATGAGAAATGGAGGGGAAATTACGAAAATAACTAGCGGCATGGACTCTGTCTTTTTTAATGACATTTTTATTTTGCGAGGCACTAGTTTTTCACAATTGCAAATTCCTAAAAATTGGGGATGTATAACTGAAAATCGGTGACACTCCCGAGTGTTAAAATGCGCGGTAAATATGTTTATTTATTAGAATTTTTCATTCCACGAAAATTCAAAAATTCAATTCTCCGGAAAAGTAAAATTTTTCGACTCCCTTGGCATTAATTCTCTCCCATATGCAGAACCTGTCCATTCGGACCTGAATGCCTATTTATCAAGAAACATCAGCACAGGTAGATAAGCAGGAATTTCCGATTAAATTTAATTTAATTTAAGAAGTTATAATAATCATAATCTAATCAGGCTCTGAAAAACAAATTTTTCAATTTCCAAGTGCCTACAATACCCAGTAAATTGTTTAATTTTTAATAAAGGGTTATTGGATAACGACTTTTCAGTAGATATCATTATGTTCCATGAATAAAGATTGTGAGGCTTCATTATTGGCTTCCGTCCGTCGTTGAGACTAATATTTCCATGAAAAGACTCTATTCCTCCCTCATCCCCGCGTAATCCTACTAGAAGTTCACATTAAAAACGACGTAATCAGCAAACTGTCTTGCCATCCCACTGGCAGAACCTAGCCTTCGCCATTCATAGTATTTCCCGGATGCGGCCAAGTGTGAGCGAGCAAAAAATGTCAAGATTAAAGGAGGGAAAAAAGAAACTGGATGAAATTCGTTGGGTTTAATTGGAACTAATTGAACCGGGCGTCTGTCATTGTCCCTCATTACTTCTTTCGTCAATTCATTTTTTGTCCCTCGGCGCGATCGGAAGTTGGGATCATTGGTGAGGTCGTGCAGATGGAGACGCTCATTTGCTCGGAAGACGTTCTCAGTGACAAAGTGAAGGGGAACAGGGAGTTAATTACTTTCATCGTGATACGTAGTTAACTGTGACACTCGATTCCACAGCAAACATGAATAATTAAACTACGGGTTGGCATGCAAAATGGGATATTCCGAGAAGCGTAAATGCATGGTACAGCACTTGACACCTCCAATGCCGTTGAGCATAAATCGTGACTGAGTGTATGTGGTTCTGGACGTTCATAATAATGCGTTAACGTGGAATTGGAGGGCTCGGCACGACGAGTCCTTGACCTTCTTTGACGAATGAAAAGGCTTTTTGGGGCATTGTTGGGGTCAAGATGCGTGTCGCTGCACGCAGACACGAGAGATTGAAATAAACATGAGATTACCCTGCGCGGGCGCAAAATATAATAGAGATTCTAGATTTTTAGTGGATAAAAATCCAGAAATTACGTTTCAGAACTTATGTGGGTAAATGTCGTTTGAATAAAACGCTCGGTTTTCCTCACGAATTATCCGAGGGTGTCGGGTAAAACGTGACTCCTATAAAAATAACGATGCCATGGAATTAAATTTCTATGAATATCAGATTTTCTCGGATTCAAAATCAAAATAACTGAAGAGAAAATAAAACTACCCATTTAGCCAAGTAAAACTGAATTATCTCCAGTTATCGAGTTCAGGACAAAATATGCTGCTGACTCAATTTTCCCCGAAATTCCAATAACGTGGCCATGAATCAGAAACTTATTAAGTGAATTACACTGACAGAAGCCCAAAACTCTTCAACTTCATGAAATAAACATTCATCAGTGATCGAGTGAGTTCAATTAAGACGAAAAATTGAAAAATGAACCCACGCGATATCCTCCCAGTTGCCAAGTAAGATGGGCAGGTGGTGAAAAACTTTGGCGGTTGAAATTTTCCCGTCCACCGAGGCGCGCAAAAATTATGCAAATATATTTATGGATTCCGGGTAAATGGATGGGTGCGGCGTCAAGTTGATTGTCGTGACATCGCCAAAGTTATCCCAGCTCCCTCGATTGCTGAGTACAGAGACTACC